AACTTTAAATCATTCAACTTTACTGAAATAATACAAAATTTAGTACAAGAAAATATTACGGACTTTATTCATTTATTCCATGCCCTTGACCCGTTCTCACCGCGGGATCATCACTACACCCATGCACACCCAACAGGTTGCCTCACGCTCCTCCACACACACACACACACACACACACACACACAGACCAACACTTAAGCGCCATTTTCGTGTTTTTTTTTCTCTCTTGGGTGGATGATCGTGTGAGAACTTAACCTGATGAGTTTTAAATTAGGTGTCAACATATTTTAACTCTTTCGATAAAAATGGCTGGAACTTATATATCCAAGAGATTAAACCTTAAAAGAGTTATGCCATTATCCTCAAAGGGTTAAAACATTATCCTCAAAGGGTTAAAACATTATCCTCAAAGGGTTAAAACATCATCTTCAAAGGGTTAAAACATCATCCTCAAAGGGTTAAAACATCATCCTCAAAGGGTTAAAACATCATCTTCAAAGGGTTAAAACATCATCTTCAAAGGGTTAAAACAACTTCGTCAAAGGGTTAAACTATTATCCTCAAAGGGTTAAAACATCATCTTCAAAGGATTAACCAGCATCTTCAAAGGGTTAAACCAGGATCATCAAAGGGTTAACTATCATTTTCAAAGGGTTAACCATCATCTTCAAAGGGTTAAACCAGGATCATCAAAGGGTTAAAACATCATTCTCAAAGGGTTCAAACCATTAAAACACAGTAAATACCCAAGTTATTGACCAATCATTCTGTTCTCACAATATCCAGAAAGTTAATTATGTTCCAGTGAGGAAAAAGTCAAACAGAAGACTGACAGACAAACGGACAAAACTAATTCCTCTGGTAATGAAATTCTTGTGTCAACTAATTCCAACAAATCAAACATCTTAAAAATGTTTACATAAAGCTCCAGCAGACCAGGTAAAAACTAACTCTTCCTGGTTATTTCACTCTTAGGTTAACCACTCCGATGATAACCTAACGTAACCTAACCTAACATACCTTAACCTACCTTGACCTAACCTAACCTACCTTAACCTACCTTGACCTAACCTAACGTAATTTAGCGTTACCCCAATCTAACAGTCACCTAACTTAATCTAAAATATTCTAACCTAATCTAACCACAAATTCAATCTAAAACTTAACTACCTTTACCTAACCTAACCTAACCTAATTAAGCGCTAAGTTAGTGTTAAATTAGGTTAAACACCACAAACCCAATATATTACTAACCTACCTTAACCTAATCCTCATTAACCTAACCTAACTTTACTTTATTACATCCCTAAATCTTAAAATGATTCTGTAAATTGTTCTATATTTTTTTTTTTACAATATTTATCTTTTTTTTTTATTAAGGTTCAAATTAGATTAAGATACTATATAGAAATTACTATCACATCAGACATTCATTCCCTCATTTACACCACCTAGATGACCCCTAGACCTTGGATGACCTATGACCTCCGTGACCTTACAGAGAAGACATACAAAAGATCAAGATCGTAACAGAATTCACCTCAAACTAAACTTTGTCCTTTAGTGTGATAACCAACAGAGCGACAGACAGACAGACATATAGACAAGAGAACATCACATCTCCCAATATCACATTTAACTAATAAATAATAAACGCGTAGTGTATTTGTTCATCATTAATCAATTCCCGTTTCAGCCTGTAACTCGATCTACACGCCTGCTCCTATTAATCATATATGTTAGTCAAGACGTCACGAGTCATTAGATAAGTCTATACTGTTTTCTCTCTACTGACGTTCGAGGTTCAGTAACACCAAGCTAGTCAACGCTAATCAACACAAGCACAGCGTAATAGATCTTATGGTGCTCAATATGGGGAAATACAGTACACTTGCTGACTTCCATTAATATACCGTTTTTTGACCCCACGACCAGCTGATGAGACGTAAATAAACAATATTACTCCACGACCAGCTGATGAGACGTAAACAATATTACTCCACGACCAGCTGATGAGACGTAAACAAACAATATTACTCCACGACCAGCTGATGAGACGTAAACAAACAATATTACTCCACGACCAGCTGATGAGACGTAAACAAACAATTTTACTCCACGACCAGCTGATGAGACGTAAACAATATTACTCCACGACCAGCTGATGAGACGTAAACAATATTACTCCACGACCAGCTGATGAGACGTAAACAATATTACTCCACGACCAGCTGATGAGACGTAAACTAACAATTCTAAACCACACTATCAACTGACGAGATATATACAGAGTCTCACAGCCAGCAGGACGCCGCCAGCAAGAGGAAGCAAGACGCAACAAAGTGGAGAAAGCCTATAGCCACCACCACTACCATCACCACCACAACCACCACCACAACCACCATCACCACCACAACCACCATCACCACCACAACCACCATCACCACCACAACCACCACCACCGCCACCACCACCACCTTTGATCGTTTCCGCCATCTCTCCTCCTCCACTACCTCACCCCCTCCTCCTCCACTGCCGCCATCTCTCCTCCACTACCACACCTCCTCCTCCGCCCAGTTACACCTTAAAGACGATCAAACATCATCTTACCCCCCCACCTCCTCCACCCTCACTTGGCAACACCCACCCGGCCTCACTCAACATAGTATTGACTGACTGACTGACTGGTGGGAGGAAGACTGATTGGTTGATTGAGCTGAAATAGTGATTGGTGACTGGTTAATAACTGTTGCTTGGCTGTTAAAACTGACTGGGAGACGATTGGTCAAAGATCGATCATTTGGTGACTCTGTGGTTGACTAATTGATGATTGGTTAACGACCGGTAGCTAACTGACTGGTAATCTACTAACTGTATGGTGAGTTGACTGAGTAAAGTGGTTCGACGAGATGACTGTTATCTGACTGTATTGTACAGACGTGGGTGGCTTGCTGGCTGGTCTGGGCGGCGGGGTGGCAAATAAATGGCTGGGTAGGTGGCAACTGGCTAGAGATGTATAACAGGGGCATACTGGGTGGCTTGGGTGGGTGGGTGGGTCGAGAAGAAGGTTGGGGCTTGAGTAAGGGTGGCCGCTACAACACACACACACACCAAGACACATCCAAACGTCTGGCTACACTCTCTCTCTCTCTCTCTCTCTCTCTCTCTCTCTCTCTCTCTCTGGACCTTTATCTACGGAGAGTTTCTGTCAAGCAGTGAGAGGACAAAGCAAGCTGAGTTTACTTCCCTCCACGCCCCTCCAACACACCCTCCAACACGCCCTCCAACACCTCCAACACACCCTCCACGCCCCTCCAACACACCCTCCAACACCACCAAACAGGCCATCAGGTGAATTAATTAGAGGCGGGAGTTAGTTTGTTTAAGACGCTCAGGTTATTACTTAATGACCCCCCCGTCCCCCTGTCCCCCTTCCCCTAACCTACCCTTTGCCCCCCCACCCGTCCCCCTGGAGGAGATGAGTCGTGATGCTGGGCTACCCTACTGGTGCATATGACCTTCAGTAGTTACTCAATTATTCATCCATTCATTCTTACACTCAAGTCAGTCGCCCATTCATTCACTTTAAACTCCACATCAAATGACGATGACTTAACACCCTGAGGACGATGAATCAGTGCATCAATGACGATGAGTGTCAACATACTGAAGGAAGTCAAGTCATCGTCATCAGCGAGGCAATATTTTAATTTTTTTTCACGTATAAAGATGGTTAGTCGAATAGCCCATCTGTGTGTGTGTGTGTGTGTGTCTCAAAACCCTACGGTACAAACTTAGGTGTTTGAATCACTTAACTAAACACCGTCAGTGCCACAGGAGGAGGCTGCGGTCACACACCCTCGGAAAAACATTTACTACACAAGTTTTACCGCCATCATCATCCTCCTGGTCTTCTCCCCCACCGCAACCAACGTCACACATCACCTCCATCCCCCTCAGTCCCTTTCCCTCCACCACAGCCACCTCCCCCACCCCAGCCACCTCCCCTCCCTCCCACAGCCACCTCCCCCACCCCAGCCACCTCCCTCCCACCACAGTCACCTCCTCCCCTCCATCACAGCCACCACCTCCTCCTCTCTCCACCACAGCCCCCCTCCACCTCCCCCTCCCTCTCTCCACCACAGCCACCCTCCCAACCCCTCCACCACAACCGACAGCAATTTTCTCAACCTGGGGATAATAATACTGTCAAGTTCTGTTACGCCATAAAGTTATGCATTCCATCTCTTCAAACCGTTATCACCTTCACTACACTATATAAAGATACATATTCAAATGAGCTAAGATTGTATAGTTGACGACAGTTGATGGTATATTGAGGTGATAGATGTCAAGGTGTGTTATAGAGCCTGTTACTGTAGACACCACGTGTTTTATTCTTCTCAGGTGATCTAGTACAGGTGACACTCTTCAACACCTGAAAAAAGGGATTTGGGTTTCTTTTGATCTCTGATACTGTACAAATACCTGACTCCTGCTTTCTCCACCATCCCCATCACTTATATCTAACTCTTTTCCTTTTCCTACACTTATACCTGCCCCCTCACACCTGATCCCCACACCTGAAAAACAAACCTTGACACCCCTCATGTCATATAGTGAAAATGATCATCGTATTACTACCAATCAAGCGGATTAGTTGGCCCGAGGCTCCCCTTACCCGTTCCAATCATGGGATGGTTAGTAGTGGAGGCTCCTCTTACAGGGGGTGATTGGTATGGAGGTTCCTTTTGTGTCTCTACCAATCAAGGGCGGATCTCCCCTTACCACACTACCAATCAAGGGCGGAGCTCCCCTTACCAGACTACCAATCAAGGGTGGAGCTCCCCTTACCACACTATCAATCAAAGGATTAGTTAGCATAGAGGCTCCCCTTGTCCCCTTACGAAACAACCAATCAAGGGGACGAAGACTACGAAGCTCCCACACCAGGGTTGAGTCCATGGTGCGGGTCGACACAAACAGGTAGAATCCCTTACCTTTGATGGCAGTGGTGAAGCAGCCGGTGAAGGGCGTGGTGAACCAGCAGGACGACAACATCCTGGTGGTTCCTGAAGGGTCCTACGAGGCCGTGCCCCGCAGGTCCTCAAGAGGGCGGTATAGGAGGCAGGCGGAGGCTCCGGACGGAGACTGGTGGAGGTGTACGTGATGATGATGATGATGGTGGTGGTGGTTGTGGTTGTGGTGGTGGTGGTGGTTGTGGTGGTGGTGGTGGTGGTGGCGGAGATGGCAGTGTTGGCAGCGGCAGTGGTGTTCGAGTCGATAAGTTGTTGCCGCCGTCTCGCTGCTTACAGCATTGTGGGCGCGGCCTTCCTGCCACTCGGTGTTCCTGGACACTTTCCTGTTCGCTTTCTTCTCACTATTTATATATTTAGATCTTTTCCAGTCTCTTCCTTTATCTCTATATATCGATACTCTATTACGGAATGGAGTAGGTTTAAGGCTTTTTCCACCATTTACATCACTATTTCTTTCACATATATATATAATTTTGCGTAAGACAGGTCGAGGAAAGACATATATACATCATTTACTTAAGGCTCTTTTATACAGTAGTTTCAAGCGCTTCTTTCATACAACAACAACAACAATCTATTTCTGCAAAATATCACTTTTCGCCACTTCAATGACTTTTCCATCACTAGAAAGAACTGATTTACGAGCTGCTCGTTTCACTTAAACAATCAAGGAAACGACCAAACACTCCCTCCTTCCTCACCACACAAATGCTCAGTCTCCCACAACCCACAAAAGCCGCTCTAAACGCTTGAGAGGTTCACCACGAGCTGCTGACCTGCCACTCGGAACATGACGCCCCCCCCGTGTGTGTGTCTCGCTACGTACACTCCCAACAGCCTCCAAGACTCCGGAAGTGCCAGGGAGTCCCATACGATCTCAGGTGCACGTTATATAATTCCGTTCCAGGTGTTCCCTAGTTCGCTTGGCTGGCTGAGTGGCTGGATGGTTCGTCATAGCACCAGAGAGACGCCCACTCCAGGCTAAATTCACAATTGTTTATGACTGATTAATTAGAGAGAGCTGGACACTGGAGGGCCATCACCAACAACCTCCCCCTTGTCACTTGAACGTCGAGGTCAATATCTCCTCCTTCAGGGTCGACGGCAACCTCCAATCACATCCACGTATATGAAACTAGCTCTAACTTACGTACAATCAACAACCAATCACAGAGCTCGTCCAGGCTAGTCTTACCAATCACAGAGCTCGTCCAGGATAGACTAACCAATCACAGAGCTCGTCCAGGATAGTCTTACCAATCACAGAGCTCGTCCAGGATAGTCTTACCAATCACAGAGCTCGTACAGGATAGACTAACCAATCACAGAGCTCGTCCAGGATAGACTAACCAATCACAGAGCTCGTCCAGGATAGTCTTACCAATCACAGAGCTCGTCCAGGATAGACTTACCAATCACAGAGCTCGTCCAGGATAGACTTACCAATCACAGAGCTCGTCCAGGATAGACTAACCAATCACAGAGCTCATTAAACCTAAGCTCAACTCTCTGTCGATATCGTTTGAATTACAAGAAAACAAAACAGCCAAGTTAATATCAAGACTCCCTTAACTAACACCAAGTGAATGTATCTAACTGAGGCAGAGTTTCAGTCCAATTCTGACGCCATTTTGGAAATAATTCTAGATAGAGTCGAACCAGATCCACGAAGATTGTGTTTACTTTCCTCCCTGACAACTTTCCCTCCATCTCTGCCTCCTTACTTCCCTCCCTGACACTTTCCTCCCCATCTCTGCCTTCTTACTTCCCTCCCTGACACTTTCCTCCCCATCTCTGCCTCCTTACTTCCCTCCCTGACACTTTCCTCCCCATCTCTGCCTCCTTACTTCCCTCCCTGACACTTTCCTCCCCATCTCTGCCTCCTTACTTCCCTCCCTGACACTTTGCCTTCTCCTCCCTCCCTATCCTACCTTCTTTCTTCCCTCCCTGATACTCTCCTCCCCATCTCTGCCTCCTTACTTCCCTCCCCTGACACTTTCTCCCCATCTCTGCCTCCTTCCCCCCTGACTTTCCTCCCCATCTCTGCCTCCTTACTTCCCTCCCTGACCTCTCCTCCCCATCTCTGCCTCCTTGCTTCCCTCCCTGATACTCTCCTCCCCATCTCTGCCTCCTTACTTCCCTCCTGACACTTTCCTCCCCCTCTGCCTCCTTACTTCCCTCCCCTGACCTCTCCTCCCCATCTCTGCCTTCTTTCTTCCCTCCTGACACTTTCCTCCCCATCTCTGCCTCCTTACTTCCCTCCCTGACACTTTCCTCCCCATCTCTGCCTCCTTACTTCCCTCCCTGACACTTTCCTCCCCATCTATCTGCACTTCTTACTTCCCTCCCTGACACTTTCCTCCCCATCTCTGCCTCCTTACTTCCCTCCCTGACACTTTCCTCCCCATCTCTGCCTCCTTACTTCCCTCCCTGACACCTTCCGCCTCCCTTTCCTTCACCTCCCTGACAGACAGCCTGACCCTAGGATAATTTCTAGCCAGTCAATAAATATAAGAGGAAAGGAAGGAAAGAAGAACATAGACTTTCGAAAGGAAGAGATGGAGGAAAGGAAAAAAGAGCAAAATGAGAAGAGAGAGAGAGAGAGAGAGAGAGAGACAAGAGGAATATACTACCCCCCCATCTCCTTCCCCCCCCCTCTGCTACTTCATCACTGCGGCAGGGGAGAGGGAAGGCGTCCCATCTACCACACACGAGCCATAAAAGAAATCGACTCATCATTATAAGAATATAAAACCGTAAAACAATTGCCAGCCTCCATAAATGTGTGAAGCCTACTCTTGATACTCCCACCCCCCCTCTCTCTCTCTTCCTCAACACCCTCTCCCCAAACCTCAACCCCTGCAGAAAGGTCCACACACACACATGCACGCACGCACACCCCGCACACACCCACACGCGCACACAGCACACACACACACACCATTTACAAGGCTCGCTATGTTGTAAATACCACGTAAAGGTTATAAAAAGTCCTTACGTCAATGAGGCACTGTACCCCTTATCATGAGGGGCACTGTCCCACCCTTATCATGAAGCACTGTACCACCTTATCATGAAGCACTTTCCCACACTTATCATGAGCACTGTCCACCCCTTATCTATGAAGCACTGTCACCCCTTATCATGAAACACTGTACCATCCCTTATCATAAGACACTGTACCACCTTGCATCATGAGCACTTTGTACCATCCCTTATCATAAAGACACTGTACCATCCCACTTATCATGAAGTACTGTACACCACCTTATCATGAGCACTGTCCACCCCCTTATCATGGCGAAGCATTGTCACCCTTATCATGACTTCTGTCCCCGCACTTATCATGAAGCACTGTACCACCCCTTATCATGAAGCACTGTACCATCCCTTATCATAAGACACTGTACCATCCCTTATCATGAAGCACTGTACCATCCCTTATCATGAAGCACTGTACCACCCCTTATCATGAAGCACTGTACCATCCCTTATCATGAGGCACTGTCCCACCCCTTATCATGAAGCACTGTCCCACCCCTTATCATGAAGCACTGTACCATCCCTTATCATAAAACACTGTACCACCCCTTATCATGAAGCACTGTGCCACCCCTTATCATGAAGCACTGTACCATCCCTTATCATGAAGCACTGTGCCACCCCTTATCATGAGGCACTGTACCATCCCTTATCATGAAGCACTGTGCCACCCCTTATCATGAGGCACTGTCCCACCCCTTATCATGAAGCACTGTACCACCCCTTTACATCATAAAAGGTCATTTGGTGGCACTATCAACACCACAATATCATAAGGTTCTAAGTAGCCATGGCGAGTCACTGAACAATGCATCATCTTTAAGTTAAGGTCACAGGTCACAGAGCTACTACAAGACCCTCTCCACTAGCACGTACCCCCCTCCTCCCTCCTCCACTATGTCTACATGGCTGATAAGGTCATATATATGTCAGCGTCACCATAAAGGATTGTGTCACTGTAAGTTATAAAAAGGCCAGTCGATTCGCGTGTCATGGGGAATAGTGTCACTCTCTCAAACGACCACCCAAGTCTAGTGCCACTGGGAATAGTGTCACTATTACCAGAATGCCACACTGTATTACGTCACTATTCTTAGGAGGTCGAGGGTTTATTATTTTTTGCGGTTTCACGTTACTGTCAACAAAAGCACACAAGCACATACATAAATACAAGCAATGAGCCTTACAAGTCACTCCCTGCTTGACTCCTGCTTGCTGTGAGTGGTTGCTTCAACATTGGTATCGTCAACAGGACATTGCACCCTCCCTCCACCTACACTGTCTGTTTATCTGTGCTCCTCCTATTTCTCCTCCTACTCCTCCTCCTCTTTCTCCTCCTCCTCCTCCTCCTTCTTCCTTGTCTCTAAGGGCTCAAACCCACTATAGTAACCAGATGATTAACAATACACAACACTGTATTCCACACGTAGGCTGTAGCCACGTCCTCACCTGAACTACTACATAGAATCCCATCCACAATAAAATTCTGATTGGTACAACAAAAAATCGACATTCGTTCAGCCTCGAGGACTTGGTGGTTATGATCGGGGAGATGTGATCCTCATTCATCCATCCATCATCCATATAACGTTATCATCCATCCATCATCCATATAGCATTATCATCCATATAACTTTATCATCCACCCATCATCCATTATAGCGTTATCATCCGCCTATTATCATCCATATAGCGTTATCATCCGTCTATTATCATCCATATAACGTTATCATCCATCTATTATCATCCATATAACGTTATCATCCGTCTATCATGAAGGCGGAGTGCATCGTCATCTCTCATTAGCCAACAACACTCATCAAAACAAAACAATTACTGCTTTCCTGCCGTCACTCATGATATTACAGTGGGGAGGTGGATGAGTCTGCAACAGGCCATCTCGTCACCAGGGCGTCACCAGCAGATGACTAGAGGAACTCACCAAGTACAAAAGTTCACCAACAAAAAAAAATTTATTATAAATTTTAGACGCGAGGATGTCACCAGTGGATTGCTTTGAGGGGAGATGACTTGTCTTGATAACTCACCATCACCTCTCAATCACTAAACCGTGTCACCAACAGATGTTAAAACGTAGTCAGTTACCTCACCATCAAATCACCGGCAAGTAATTGAAAAAAAAAAACCCAGACTAATCCATTCTATTGATAGATTGTGTTTCACCAGCAGATGACAGGAGGAAAATGCATCACGTGACATCACCATCAGACAGAAGAAAAACAACCACCACCACTACACAGTATCACCAGGCAGATGAGAAAGAGGAAAAAAATAATATATATATAATTCACCAAGCCACCAACCCACTTCACCGCCAGGCTGTGTCACCAGGCAG